TTTTTGCATAACATGTTTTATTCAGCCATTAGTAGAACCGTCTCTACCGGAGTAAGTTTTTTACTTTTAGTTTTTCACGTCTTAGTATTTTTTTTAGTATTTACTTTATCTATTGTATTTTTCTTTTTTAGTCTGGGTAGTTGTTCCTTGCTATCCTTTCTATCTTGATTTTCAGTTCAGTTGTATTATTAAATTTTTTAATATTAATAAAATTTATATTTCCCCTTGTTTGCATGCAATTCTTTCTTTAAGAACACAAAACAATTCATTTCACTTCAGAATGCTCTGCGATACCGGGGTGTACCGCCTACTAGACTCCAGGTGTGATAGAAGGTTTTTGAAAGAAATGATGAGTAACCAAAATAATATTTGGAATAAAAAGGTTTCACGGATCTATAAATTTGATTGGTTTATATCTAATGAAGAACCATCACTTTTGATATACATTTGAATATTTTCATAAAAAATGTTTAAAATATTTTTTTAAAATAAAAATATAAAATTTAATTTTTTCAAATATTATAAGAAGTCAAATTCTCTCAACTTTTAAGTATTAAAAAAAAAAATCTCATGCATTTACATACATACCACCCAATTCCTATATGTATAAATATCTAACAGCTAGAATTTTACTATATACATTTATACCACCCAAATCTTTCATACCACATAAAAAATATCATTATTTAGTTTTTAAAATGTGATATATACATTTTTCTTGTTTGTGTAAGATGATATGAATTTAAAAATTGAAGTTTAGATAGATATGTAAATACAAAGGAATTGAGTTATATGTATGTAAATCTCCCAAAAATCTTGGCTGTAATTTTCCCATATATGTTGTCGGGCAGTAGCCATGTATACGGTGACGACATCCCTCGTTGCTGTGATATCCGCCGCTCGCTTCGTTCCTCATCCCTTTTTTCTTTGGTTTTCTTCGACTCATCGACACGGGTTTTCTTTGGAAAGAAATTGGATCAGCTTATTTCAATCTTTCCGTCCTAGAAACCTAGCTTTAGCCTTCAACGTGAATCTGTTCTCGAGGCATTGTTCGCTCGCTGTCGATGCGGAGGGAGAATTTGTTCGACTCTAAGCCACCTTCGGATCTTTGTTTCGTCCGATTCTTCTTCTACTGAGTCCGCTTGCCTGGGATACTACTTTGATACTTGAATAACCCGTTGATAGGGCTCTGATGGCTGCCCAAAGATTCCAGTGTTTCCAGCCCGATCGCCTTGGTTCATTTTCGTTATGGAATTTACAGTACATAGCTATGCGCTTTTGTCTAACGATTCTGAGGTCCGTTTTTAATTGAGAAAGTTCGAGGATTTGCTGCAGAGAAATATACCGACCACTACCAAATATTTGCAGCTCTTTTGCCAACTTGTTACTTTATTAGGGTAAGTCACTATGGAAATAGTTGGTTAAGGTTATTCAATATTGGTGATTCTTTGTTTTCTGTTACAAATGACTTCTCATGGGCTCATTTCTTTTTGGTACCGTTCTTTATCGTTTTTTCAGGACCTGAGGCATAATTTATCCGGCAGTAGGGTCGACTCCTCCGAAGAATTATGATGTTAAGGTTAGCATCTTGTTCCTCATCCACTCGGAATGCTTAAGCCTATTTCCATTCTTTTCTGTTGGATGCTTAAATCAAAGACAAGCAAATTTTGCTGTTGGCAGCAGTTGTTCTGTTAACCTTCAAATTTCGTGGTCTAAATAGCCATTTCTTTTCTTTTCTTTTTAATTTTTAATTTTTATTTTTATTTTTATTTTTTTGGTAGTTTCGTGTTAGTCTACAAGAAAGACATAAACCATGAACTTTTCTGCTGGCAGGTTTTTGGCTTTCAGGAGGAGCGTTAAACTAGAGAATTCAACGGTAGCAAGCAATAAGTGCACATATTTTACAGGGAAGAGCATTGAATCAGCTGTTTCTGTTGGGTTACCATTATCCTTCTCTTTCAAAGCCTTTTATCATCAAGGGGCTTTCATCAAAGGGAACACTCCATTTTTAATTAAAGTAAATGTATCTAAGGTAGTTGGTTTTCCCATGCCATGCAAAGTTTACCAGTGGCATGGTTTATTTAATAGGGGTAGCACATCATTTGCTAGAAATACAATTCAGGAAAATCTTGCTCATTTCCACTGTGTCAAGAAGTATGCCACCTTGTCAGCCAGCAGCGTTCCAAGGCATTTTGTCCAAATGCTGTGGAGAAGGCATTTTGCCATGAGCCCTTACGAAGGTCTTACCTCTACTCTTGCAAACAGGTTTGCATTTGCTATAAGCTTGCTCTCTACTAGATTTCATCTTGCTCGAAGTGCTATTGCCTTTTGTGCCAGTGAATTAGCTTGGATGAAAACGGCATGGGCAGATAGGGATTATTTTCCAGACAGCAAATCCTTATACATGCAAGCTCAAGATAGTCGTATTTACATCACCACTTTACTCTTTTCAGTATTGGAGTGTTTTATATTATTACTAAGAGCTGCTTATTTGGCAATTTTGTTCTCACCAATCATATTAATGGCACCATTGGCAGATAGTTTAGGAATCCAGTATAGGAAAATATGGCTCTACCTTGTCCACCGCACTCTGGAGAGAGCAGGGCCTGCATTTATAAAATGGGGTCAGTGGGCTGCTACTCGCCCTGACTTGTTTCCTGGAGATCTCTGCAATGAATTAACAAAACTTCATAGCAAATCACCTGCACATAGTTTTTCCTACACGAAAAAGACTATTGAGGGAGCATTCGGTCGCAAGCTTTCTGATATTTTTGAAGATTTTGAAGAGCAACCTGTAGCATCTGGAAGTGTGGCCCAAGTCCATCGGGCATCATTAAGAGTCAGACATCCGGGACAAAAGTCCAAGCGTGCTGTTGTTGCTGTAAAAGTGAGGCATCCTGGTGTTGGAGAATTAATTAGAAGGGATTTTTCTTTAATAAATGTGGTGGCTAAAGTCTCAAATTTTATGCCTGGCTTAAAGTGGCTTCGCCTTGACGAAAGTGTGCAGCAGTTTGCTGTTTTTATGATGTCTCAAGTTGATCTTGCTAGAGAAGCAGCTCATTTGAGTCGTTTTATTTACAATTTTCGTAGCTGGAAAGATGTTTCTTTCCCAAAGCCTCTCTATCCATTTGTGCATCCAGCTGTGTTGGTGGAGACTTATGAGCTTGGGGAAAGTGTTTCTCATTATTTGGATGAGCTTGAAGGGCATGATCGGTTAAAAAGCGCTCTTGCACATATAGGAACTCATGCACTCCTCAAGATGCTCCTGGTTTATTTTCCTTCTTAACTTGTGTAGTTTTAATTTTTTTTATTTGCCATTATTGTTTCTCTTCTTTGTTTTTTTTTTCATCCTTCTCTAATTTGTAATTATTCACTCTGTCTAATTTGTACCAATGCATAATTTCCATTCTCATTTCCTTGCATTCATGTAGCAAAACTTAAGATTAACCATTGTAGTCTCTTCTTTTTTTACAAATTTTAATTTAATAAGTTCAATGTAAAAGCTTAGTAAAAAATGTCATTATGGAAATTTGTAAGGTAATAGGATGCTTTATTATTGGAAGAGAAGCATTTTGGTTATAATTTTGAAAAATAAAGGATGTCATCATGATTCGAGAAATTAAATTTTGAGTTATGCAATTAAGATGTGGTAGAGGGTGATGCGAAAACAAAGTTACAAATTTTTTGTCTCGAAAATATACTATAAACTTGATTTTTTGTTGCTAATACTGGTTCCTGAAAAAAAATATAAATAGCAAATAAAGGATATATTTTTCCTGGAAATGCATATGATTGAGTAAAAAGAATTGAATTCATGTGCATTAAGGAAAATATATGGTAAATGTATATTAGAGTTATTGTTGATTAGTATTGGAAGCATTTGTGGTGTGACCAAGGAGTTTTTGTTCATAGTAGTTCGCATCAAGGATCTGTCTTAAAATTGTATATTTTTTTTTATTGTTGATAGAGCTGTTTACTAAGGATATTCAAAGTGAGATAAGTTGGTGTAGGCTTTTTGTAGATGACTTTTGTTCTGGGTACAAGTTCCACAACTCAAATATGTGAAAATTGCTTTGATTCCGTTGGAAACATTTGTTGATTTTCATATAATCGAAGACCACATAGGCCCAACCATGGTTTGGGAAATCGTGGGTATGCTGCTATATTTGAGGGGCAGAAATTATTCTCTTAATGATCCATGATTGTGTTTTTATTTCTTCCATTCTTATCACGATGATTTAAATTTTTCTCCAATTGTATGAGGGTTAGTCTGAGCTATATATATATATATATATAATTAGTTAAGTGAGAGAGTTTTTCCTCTAAGAAAGTTCCTCTTAAATTATACATGGTCTTAGAGCTTGAAAATAAACTCTGGCTTTCCTTCCTCTGTCGAAGTGTCTCCTTGTAGCCGCTAGTCCGTGTAGTTCCTCCACTGAATTCTCTTTTTGTTGTCCTTGTTACTATCTCTTTACAGGCGTTCTTAATCCACCAAGTCCAGGTGCTCCTCCTTGCAGATGTTACTTCCACTTTCCAGCCACCGATCTCTTCTTTGGCAGGAATCCTTGGAATTTTCTTTCTAGTGGAAATCCCGGATTGAGTATTTTTTGATTTGATTTTCTCCCTCTAGGAAAAATTCTAATTGGGTCTTAACTTTCTCCCTCTAGTAAAAATTCTAATTGGGTCTTAACTTTCTCCAGATCTACAACTACACCTCATTTGTCTAGGTCCTACACAACAACCCTCTCCGTGCAAATTGTGGCCAACAACTAATTTCTCTCTAGTGCAAATCCTATGTCGTTTTCATACAACCTGAGAAACCTCTTTCCCGCCGACACCTTATCATTATCAAATGCATCATGAAAGCTACTTCCTCTTCAGAAGTTACTTCTGAACTTGAACCTGGGATATCTAGTTCTGCAACGCTTGAAATCTCATTCTGCATCACCAATTACAAATTTTATGACCTACAATTTCCTCCAATGATCTCAATATGTGTTCATATATATATCTGTGATAAAGAAAAAGATGATAATTTCACCGAAGAAAATTCTTCACCAAAATTGCTGAATCTAAATATCAAATATGGAGGATTGAAGATTGCATGGTCATGTCTTGACTTGTCAACTCCATTACCAAAAAAATTAGAGGAAATTTCTTTTTGTACAAAACGACAAAAGAAATCTGGGATGCCTCAAGGGAAACATTTTCAAGTATTGATAACACATCTGAATTGTTTGACATTAAAACTAGATTACATGACCCACGCCATAGTGATTTGAATGTTACACAATTCTTCAACACTCTCTAGATATTAGCTCCAACTAGATATGTATGAAACATACATATGGAGGTGCTAACAAGGTTTTGCTCTTTACAAAGTCATTGTTGAACATAATAGTTTTCAAGTTTTTTCTAGGACTCAAAAAAGAACTAGATGAAGTTAGAGGAAGAATTATGGGAATCAAACCTCTTCCCTCAATTTGTGATGTCTTTGCGTAAGTACAACTGGAAGAGAGCAGAAAGAAACTCATGATGATAGGTAATCTCACTATATGAAATATTGATAGCTCAGCGTTATACACTCATAAATCATCTTTGGGCAATAAATCAAAGAGGAACAGAGTGTGATGTGAAAATTTCAAGAAGCTTGGTTATCTAAAGGAAAAGTGTTGGAAAATTTATGAAAAACCTACCGATTGGAAGCCCAACAAAGTCAAAGTTGATAAAAAAAATCAAGCAAACTCAACATTAGAGGAAGGCAAGCCTCATGAACATAGCCAATTCAGAAAGGAATAACTTGAAACTCTCCAAAGGCTTATGAGACAATATTATGAGCCTTCTATCATATCAAAGTAGTTTTTCATTTGCTCTTGTTACTATCATCAGGAAGAATAATTCTTGGATAACATACTCTAAAGCATTTGATCACATGACAGTTGATATCACTGCTTTCCAATCTTTCTATTCTTGCAAACATCCTATTGCAATTAGAACTGTAGATGACTCCCTCTCATCTGTGGATGGAAGTGGAAGCATGAACTTTCATATAATATTATTCTTTAATTTGCGTTTTATGTTCCTAAACTTAACTGTAATTTATTGCCTATTAATAAACTTACTCGTGACATGAATTGCATTACTAAATTTAACCTTAATTTTGTCTGAGTTTAATGCGAGAATGGTGATTGACAGTGCTGACATGTATCATGGGCCTTTTCTGCTCACTAGGACTCCCACTTCAAAAGGGTCGTCGAGCATGTCTTATATCTGAGTTTATTTCTCATGAGTTAAATTATGTTATGACATGTTTGCCTCGAGCATCCAAATTTTTATTATATTGAGAAATCATATTCCCATTTGTTTTATAATAAAAAAATATAGTACTTATCAGCATGAAACTTGCCAACTTGCTAAACATACCCGACAAGTGTACTCAGTCTGAAATACAAACCAACACATTCATTCTCCCTTGTTCATAGTGATATTTGGGGGCTCTCAAAAATTAAAAATACAAATGGGTCTAGGTGGTTTGTTACATTTATTGATGATCACCCCAGAACCATTTGAACATTTCTTACGAAGAAAAAATCTGAAACTGCCAACATATTTGAAACCTTCCACAACATGATCCTCATCATTTCAGAGCAAAATTGAGATTTTCAAAATTGATAATGCAAAAGACTACTAGAACTCCACTCTTGGCTCTTATCTATTTGTAAATGACATCATTCATTTGAGTTTTTATGTTAAAATACCCCAGCAAAATGATGTGGCTGAGAGAAAGAACAAATATGTCGAGGTGGTCCGTTCAATTCTATTCATTAACAATGTATCTAATATTTATGGGGGATCTAAGTCTCACATTCACTTATCTCATAAATAGGATGTCGAACAGAGTGTTAAATATTAACAAGTCTGTTCGCACTTTTAAAATTCTATCCTCACATTCAGTCATTCACCTCTAACATATCACTAAATTTTTTTGGTTGATTCGCTTTTGTTCATCTATATCAACCACATTCGAGCAAACTTGATCCCAGGTCAATCAAATGCATCTTTGTGGGCTACTCTTCAAAGAAAATGGGTATAAATGCTATACTCAATAGATACAAATTCTACAATTTTATGCATGCCACCTTCTTTGAAAACAAAAAATGTTACCCTAAATTTAACATTCAAGGGAGAGTTAGAGAGAATATCAGATTTGAGTTACCATTCAGTAACCTCAAGCTCACCTCCTATACATCTGATGAATGCACCCTTATTCTGACTATTGCAAATCAATCTAAAAATGAACCTATTACTCTACTGTATCCTCCCACAACTTCCACCGAGAACCAAGAACTCCATGTGTATATCAAAAAGAAAAAACCTAGAGTGCATATAAAAGATAATATGCAAAATCAGGAATGCAATTCGTTGGAACTAACTTCACACACCTCAAGTATTCACATAGAGGTTGGGTCAATACATTATAAGAACAAAGAGGAAGGAGCACAAGAATGCATAGAATATTAGATAGAAGACTTTGTGACCTAAAGAAAATTATTATCCTTTTACAAATCATTTATTTAGAATTTTGATAATGTGTATGTCCTAAAGTCAATTCAAGAGGCCTTATCTATTCTTGCTTGGAAAAATTTTGTGGAAGAAGAGATTCTTGCAATTAAAAAGAATGGTAATTGGATCATAACGAATTTGCCACCTAGAGAAACAAATTGTAGGGTGCAAATGGATTTTCAGTATTAAGTGCAAAACAGATGAGGGCATAGAAAGTTTCAAGTTTAGACTTGTAGTGAAAGGGTTCACTTAGTCCTATGGGATCGAATACTAGGTGACCTTTTCACCAATGGCAAAACTCAACGTAGAAAGAATATTACTGTTATTGGTTGTCAACTTGGATTGGGCTTTACATCAGCTAGACATCAAAAATAAATTTCTTAATAAGGATCTTGACGACGAAGTGTATACAGAGATAACTGTAGGATTAAAAAACACCTTAAATAATCATCTAGTGTGCAAACTAAAGAAATCATTGTATGGGTTGAAACGATCTCTTGGAGTATGGTTTGAATGATTCATCAAGACTATTCTTGCCAATTGGTATTATTAGGGTCCGGCTGATCACACTTTGTTTATGAAATCAAATCGAGAAGGTACGATAGCCATCCTTATTATATAGGTAGATGACATTACTTTTATAGGCCATGACATATGAGAAGTTGAAATAATCAAAAGAATAATAAATTTTGAGTTTGAGATAAA